AGTTTGAATCTTAGTCACTGACAGAAAAAAAAAGTCTATTCCAGCCAGGCCTAGGTGGCTCATGCCTGTAATCCTAGCTACTCTGAAGGCTAAGATCTGAAGATCACAGTTCTAAGACAGCCCAGGAAAGGAAAGTCCATGATACTCTTTTCTCTAACTAACCACCAAAAAAGCCAGAAGAGGAGCTATGGCTCAAATAAGAGAACATTAGCCTTGAGCACAAAAGCTCAGGAACAGTGCCTAGGCTCTGAGCTCAAGCCCTAGAACTGATACAAAAACAAAAAGTATATTCCAGCCTGGCATGGTGTTAGCAGCTCATACTTGTAACCCTAGATACTAAGGAGGTTGAGGTTTAAAGATTGTGGTTCAAAGCCAGCATGGTCAGGAAAGTCTGTTACACTATTATTTCCAATTAACCACCAAAAGGCTAAAAGTGGAGCTGTGCCTCAAATGGTAGAACAGCCTTGAGCAAAAAAGCTCATGGATCGCGCCTAGGCTCTGAGCTCAATATCCAGGACAAGCACAACAAAAAAACAAACAAAGAAATGCTGATGGCAAATACTAGTCACTCCCGCTATATGGGAAGCATAAATAAGAGGATCATGGTAGGCTGACCCAGAAAATATGAGACTCTATCCAAAAAATAACTAATGCAAAAGTCCGAGGTGTGGCTCAAATGGTAGAGCACTTGCCAGGCAAACCCAAGACCTTAGTTGAATCCCATTACCAGAGAGAGAGAGAGAGAGAGATTTCAACATTCTTAAAAGATAACTTCAAAAATTTTATACACAAATAAAACTTACACAAAAGCCTAAAAAAATATATACACTGAAACATACAAGTAAGAAAACATATGTTCTTTAAGAAATAATTATAGGCCAAGTGAGGGTGGCTCGTACCAGTAAACCTAGGTACTCAGAAGTGGAACTGTGGCTCAAAGTGGCAGAGTGCTAGCCTTGAGCAAAAGAGCTCAGAGACAGTGCCCAGGCCCAGGCCCTTGAGTTCAAGCCCCACAACCAGAAAAGAAAGAAGGAAGGAAGGAAAGAAAGAAAGAAAGAAAGAAAGAAAGAAAGAAAGAAAGAAAGAAAGAAAGAAAGAAAGAAAGAAAGAAAGAAAGAAAGAAAGAAAGAAAGAAAGAAAGAAAGAAAGAAAGAAAGAAAGAAAAGAAAGAAAGAAAAGAAGGAAAGAAAGAAAGGGAAGGAAGGAAGGAAGAAAGGGAAGGAAGGAAGGAAGAAAGAAAGAAAAGGGGGGGGGGGAGGGAGAAATATAAGAAACATACCACACCTGGAATCTCAATACTCTGGAGAAGGAAGCAGGTTTACTAGTTTAAGACCAGTCTGGAACCCAATGTCAACAAAAGAAAGAAAAGAAAAAGTTATATACAATACATGTAATGCAGTGTTAACTACCACTTAAAAAAAGAAAGAAGAAACAAGAAAGAAGGAAGAAGAAGAAGAAGAAGAAGAAGAAGAGGAGGAGGAGGAGGAAGAGGAGGAAGAGGAGGAGGAGGAGGAAGAAGAGGAGGAGGAGGAGGAGGAAGAAGAGAGAAAGAAAGAAAGAAAGAAAGAAAGAAAGAAAGAAAGAAAGAAAGAAAGAAAGAAAGAAAGAAAGAAAGAAAGAAAGAAAGAAAGAAAGAAAGAAAAGAGAAATTCCAGGGGGCTGGGGAGGTGGCTCAGTAGTAGAGTGCTTCCTAGCATGCATAAGGCCCTGGGTTCGATTCCCCAGAACCACATAAGCAAAAAGAAAAAAGCCAGAAGTGGCGCTGTGGCTCAAGTGGTAGAGTGCTAGCCTTGAGCTGAAGAGCTGAGGGACAGTGCCCAGGCCCAGAGTTCAGGCCCCACGACCAGACCCAAAAAAAAAAAAAAGAAAAGAGAAATTCCAAAGCAGCAAAAATACATACTTGGTAAAGTTAATGTGATCAAAACATGAGGCTCTGCTCCCAGACCCACACAAAAGCCTATGTACAAAACTCCTGAGAAGTTAATATTAAGTCACTAGTATTTCCCAGCACAAAGTAATGAAAATTCAAACATGTTCTCAGAAATCAGTTCTGAATATAGGTAGAAAGGAATTTGGTCCCAGGCAGGAGAACTAAAATTTTAAGCCCTTCTATTCTCCTTCTGAATCATAATTAAGTACAAAAGCCTCAACCATAAGCTGAGGATATAGTACTCATATAACCAAGAATACAAAATTTTAAAGAACATTAATATAACTTTAACTTCAGTGTTTCTTCACACATACATTAAAAAAAATCTTTAGTATTCACTGAAGTACAGAAAGTTTAGGATTGCTTTTAGAGGTTTCATTTTTATATAAACAGTTAAAGGTTTTCTTCGTTCTTCACAGAAGCAAGTTTCTATATTTACTTTCCAATTGAGGCTATTTCATAAGGAACAGTCACTTCTAAAGCTTGAGGTACTATACCTTTTGATAAGCTCAGAAACACAATGACTCCTAATTAACTATATATATATATTTTTTTTTAATTTTCTATTCCAAATTTGTGAACAGAGTCTATGCAGGAAACCACAATTTAAGGCTTTTAACTTTTGGGTTATTTTTACACAAAAGCATTTCAGTGTATTCCTCTAGATTTGAGTAGTCATTTCCTCATGCATCATTCTAAAATAGGGAAAAAAATGATGTACTCATGAACCTAGTATGCATATAAATATATATATTACCACTATGAAACAAGCTTAAAAGCTTTAGTCAGTGAGAATCTTTCAGAAAGTTAGCAGAGTCAATCAAAACAATCAAAACTTCAGCCATGACATCTGTTACTCCGTGTGTTAATAAGAGTCTACAGAAGAGTGCAGGAAGTTAAATAATCACTAAAATCAACTGCTATCACATCAATGGAGAAAGGGATAAAAATAATAATAGTAATAATAATAATAATAATGAAGAATATAAATTTCAAGATCTCCAAAAGAGAAAATGATTTTTTGTGAATCATGGGAAACTGCCTTCACAGCATTTTTTAAACAAAAGCTTCAAACTATAACAAAGAGATTTTTGGTAACCACAGAAGTATTTTTTTTTTAATTCATAAAATGTCCAGAGTACACATTTAATGCATTAACTTCTCAACTGATTTGGAGAAAGTTAGCATTTCAAGATAGAAGCTCAGCTCATGTTTTAATTGGTTATCAGTCTCAACTACTTAATATCTACATGGCTTCTGGCAATTTTCAAAGAACTTTTACACGTATTACTAATTTCATCTGAAAAAAAAGTACAATATTGTGCCTACCAAATAGATAATTCAGAGCAAGTCTACTGAATTTTTATGTATCCTAAGTTTTTAAAACTCTGATATAAAACTTTAGAAGCAAGCACAGCAGCACATATCTGATAAACACTCAACAATAGCACAGTTCCAAGGACCATGTACTGTAAATGCTATGAAACTGTTAACGTGGCCACCATCCTTTTTATGCAGTTATTGTTAAGTGTTAGTAATAGATATTAATGATCTGTAACATTACTTATAACTAACTACTTTACTTAAGATTTTAAAAATCTGTCTTTGAAAGCCCACTTAAATATATCAATAGATAGGTGTATATAAAACTAAGTGTCTGAGAAACCTTTTATATTAGAATCATTGTCCACAGATTCAAGAGGGTAGGGACGGGTCATACAAAAAAAGTCATCCGTTTTTTCCACATAAGATCCCTCTTTCCATAAATCTCTACTACTCTATATCTATTATAGGGATGATCACAAAACTTAAAGGTCCCAAATCATACCACCATTTCTATTTATTACAACTGGGCATATTTTTAACCCACTCATCAATACTAGACAAACATTCCCTCAAAGAAAAATAATTGAACAGTACTTCGTACCTAACCCCATCATCCTTAAGTAATCCACAATAACAAATTTACTTCACAGAGTATCATTAAACAGGGAAGAAAAAAAAAGCAGTCAAAAACTGCAGTTTCATATAGCAACATAATTTATTAATAGACTTAGAATGGACTTACTCAAAATCTTCCTGGAACTTTAATCTGTTGCTTAAAGGTAAGCAGAGCTTCCACAAGTAGCAAAACTCTCAAAATTAAATTTTAAAAAATTTTAAATTAAAAAAAAAGAATCCTTTATCTTGCTGTAGCACCTCCTGCTGGATGTAAGGATCTTCATGGAAGCAGAAGATAATTGAATAGAAAACATGGACTCTTCAAAACTAAAATAAATAACTCCCCAGCCATTATTTATAACACTTTAAAAATAAAATATGGCATCAATAGGTCTTTTTATCTATTACTATTTCAGTTCAATAAAGACTTGTCTGTGTCCAAAGCACAACACACTTAAAATAAACCTGTCTAAAAACTGAAGTTAAAATGCCTTCCAATACACTTAAACATAAAATGACTTTATAATGGGCAGCCAAGCATTTCCAGTCAAATTCCAAATAGTAATGTTAACAAAAACAAAAGTGTGATGTAAAGAAAGCACCTGGAATATTTTAACATATTAGTTTGTGTGTTGAGACTCTTCAACACTATTACTATGTTCCTCTCTTAAGGAGAGTTGTGCATCTACAAAGTTTTAAGCACAGAATTTTTTAATAAACATGAGTGCAACTACAAACAAAAACTTCCTCTTTACAGTCAAAAAATATGTCCTGAGATTTTAAAATTCAATCTTCAGACATTTTAAATGGCCCTTAATAGCTAGTGTTTAGCCCACAACACAGATTTCATATACAAGTGAAGACAGAAGAGAGTAAGAAATAACTTACCGAATTCAAAATGAGTAATAGTATTTCCAGTAAAAATGTAGTAATGGTTTTCTACAAGACTATATATAAACCAAGTAAATTGTGAAACTTTGGGGGGTAGGGAGAAGGAGGGATGGGAGCTAGCCTTCAAAACAAAACAAAACAAAACAGCTGACCTATTTATTTCTTCTGCCCAAACGTGAGTGAACATCAAATGTAAACAAATAACATAAACACTGAAAAGAAGGCTTACAGGGCTTACCCTCAATTTCAGTCCCCATACCAGGCCCTCCATAAAGCTGCAGATGTTGATGTTGGTGGGTACTCTCTTTAAAAGACGGTATCCCAGCTCCTCGCCTCAAAGAACCCCTATAAAGTAAGTCTATGAAAAGGCTTCCTTCCTAGAGTGCACAACTGCTTTGAAAAGAAAAGGGGGAAAAAAAAACTTTCATCAGCCCAAATTAATCTGATTCTAATATTCAGCCATCAATTATTAATGTATAAATGTTCCCTAACTTCCCCCAGCTCAAGCATCTACATTCCTGACATCTTACCCTTAAGAAAAATGCACAACTTGCACCCCAGCTATGGGGCAAGAAAAAAAAAAAAATCTTTGAAATCCGAAACACAGCCACAAAGTTCACTGTCAAGGCCAGTATGAGGCCCACACACGCCCGGATCTCAGCTCACATCCTGAAATTCTCGACATCCATCCTCCCAGAGACATCATTTTAAAACAACAACACCACCACCACCACAGTGTGGACGGGCAGGGTGAGATCCTCTACTTCCAAGCCCTAAACAAAGAATTATTTCAACATATGACCGGAATATGATGACACCGGATTCACCAATGAAAACAAAACCTGCCTGCCATGCAGCAAGTCAGTCGTACCCTCATCTCCCTCCACAACTCAACTACTTGGAAATCACTCTCGGCACATTTTACAACCCTCCACCACCGGCGAGTCCGGCCTCCTCCCTTCACCGGGGTGCACAGCCACCAACAAAGTTGAAAGGAGACATTCTCCAGGCCGGTGCCCAAACCCTCCCCTGCCAGGGACACCTTGCTGCTACCCACCATCATGAACGTGGCCAGGGTTTAAAAAAGAAGAAGAAGAAGAAGAAATCCTAACAGCACCGCTCAGCAGAATAAAGAGAGGAGGGGGGAGAGAGAGAGAGAGAGAGAGGAGAGGGGATGACGAGAAGTGTTGGGAACTGCGTGCTCGGCGGGGCTGGACCAAACGGAAAGAGTCCCACTCCGCGCGCCCCTCCCCCTCCCGCCCTCCCCCTCCCTCCCTCCCTCCCTCCCCGGCGGGGGCGCGGGCGGGGGAGGGGCGGCCGCGGCCCCTCTCCGAGCGGCCTGTCCAGCCCCGGCCCCTCCGCGCGGGGTCCCGGGGCGCCCCGCGGCCGGCGGCGGGGGCGACTGCGGGGAGGGCCGGCCGCGGGGTGAGGGGTGCAGGCAGACTCTCCGGAATAACAAGTTGCAGAAGAAGAAGAAGAAGAAGAGAAGAAGAATAAGCGGAATTTCCCCAACGCTGCTCCGGCCACCCTAGACAAATGCACCAACACACACACACTCACACTCACACACACTCACACACACACACTCGGGCCCGGCAGCGTCAGCAGCCGCAGCTTTTTTTTTTTTAATCCAAATCCTTCAGTCACCAAACAAGATGGTTTTCCCCCAAAATAATTTTAATTAAATAAATAATGATAATAAAAACTTCCCCCTAACAGCATCCCGGGTGGGTAAGGGGGGAGGGGGGAGGGTGAAAGCCGCCAGGCGACCATCCCCGGGCCGAGGCTCCGAGCCCCCCGCCCTCCGCCCCCCCCAGCCCGGCCCCCCGCGGGGACAATGTGACGCCCCCTCCCCGCCACCCCCGGCGCGCCGCCTCTTGTCACCCGCTCCGGCCCTGCACTCAGCGCCCAGGCTCGCGAGGCCGCTCATAAACTTACTTCCAATCTATCCTGGGGAGGGGTGGAGGGCAGAGGGGCGGAAGGGGGGGACGACGAGGTTTTCCCATTGTCTTTTTTTCGGGGGGGGGGTGGCGGTAAGGATAGGAAGGGCACGCAGGGGGGCGCCCCGAAGGGGAAGTTATTGCTCAAATCTCAAGTTGACTGAGGGGTCCTAGCGAGAACACCCCCTTTTCCCTCCTCCCTCCCACACACCCCTCCCCTCCCCCTATCTCTACCCCCCCCCACTACAAACTCCAAGCAAGCAGCCCCAGTTCCTCCCAGAGACAAACACCAGAGACAAGACAGAGGGAGAGAGAGAGAGAGAGAGAGGGAGAGAGAGGAGAGAGAGAGGAGAGGGGGAGGGAGGGGAAATAGAGCTACTCCAGAAAAAAAAGAGAGAGAGGAGAGTGAGGAGAGGAGAGAATGGAAAAGCTGGGATACTGCACCCTCCTGCTGCTGGCTGGCTGTCCCCCCTGGCAGCTGGAGGCAGGAACTCTGAGCAGGAGAAGCAGGAGGAGGAGGAGGAGGGAACTCTTCTTCATGGGGAGGGAGGGAAGAAGCTGGAGCTGCTGCTGCTGCTTCTGCTGCTGCTGCTCTGGGCCTCTCGCACTTTTTAGATATTAGTGTGTTAAGATGGTAGGTTGTTCCCTTCTCCCTCCTCCTCCTCCTCTCTCCCTCTCTCTCCCTCTCTCTCTCTCTCACTCACTCACTCACTCTCTCTCTCTCTCTCTGGGCTGTTTCTTTCCTCCTCTTCCCCAGGCAAGGGGGGGTGGGGAGGAGGGGGTGGGGGGGAGGAACTGGAGCCTCCTCCTCCTCCAGGAGAGACACACACAGGCCCCGGGCCGGACTGGGGAGGGAGGAATCAGAGCAGCGGGAGAGAAACTGTGGGAGACAAACAAGCCCAACTCTTCATCCTCCTCCTCCTCCTCCTCCTCTCAGCAGCAGCAGCGAGCACCACCAGCCCATTCACCACCCGGCCCCGGGCCGCAGCACCTCCGCCGCCTCAGCCCGGGGATCCCTCCGCCCAGGCCCAGACACACTCGCCCGCGCGGGAGCCCGCCGCGCGGCCCCGCCGGCCCGCCGCCGTGCGCGCCGCCGCCGTGCGCGGCCCCGCCGCACCCGAGAGCCCGGACGAGAGGGACTGGGGCTGGGAAAGCGGGGACGAGTGGTGATGGGGAGGGGAGGGGTGGAGGGGGGGGTCGAGGAGGTGCCGTGAGGGAGAGGGGCACGGCGGGGCGGGAGGGGGCGCCGGGCGGAGTTGTACGGAGGCCGGCCCGGGCCCTTGATCCTCCGTCAGTCGCTCGTGGGACGCGCGGGGGACCCCACCGGGGGCGTTGGGAGGGGGGGGCGCGGGGCGGCGGGGACCCGCGGCGGCGCTCGGGCAGGCGGACTACTTGACGTGTCGGTGCGGCGAATTTATTTCACTTTGCCTAAGGAACGGGGTGTGCTGCGGCCCCCATTGCCTAGGGAAAAAACCCGGATGTAAAGTGAGTGAAACTAAACTAGAGTGAAGTAGGGCAGCGGCAGCCAAACTCCAGTGCAGCGGCGGCGGCGGCGATGGTGATGGGGCCGCGCGCCCAGCGGCCGCTACCAAACTCCGCCGGAGCCGCCGCAATCCCGAGCCCGAGCAGCGCTGCAGCTTCGGCTCCGGTGCCGCCGAGGCGAGGCCGGAGCCCGCTGCGTCCCTTCTTTCCCCCCTCCACCCCCTCCCCAACTCCGCGGCCCGAGCCCAACTCCCCCCCCCTCCCGCCCGCGGAGCTGCACCGGAGCTCCGGAGCGGCCCCAACTCCCTCCCGTGCAACAGCAGTTTGCAGGGTGGGGGGAGCGGGAGGTGGGGGGGGGGAGCGAGGAGGAAGCACTGCAATGGGGGGGGGAGCGTGGTCCAGGCAACAGGAGAAGGATGCAACCTCAAGTCGAATGCAACACGCCAGCCCCGGCCGCCGCTCGCCGGCGCCCTCCCCGCCTCTCCCCTCCCCTCGCCACCCCGCCCCCTTGCCAAATAACTACCCTGGAACCACTTTATTAGCTGTACTTAGTCCCACACTGGCGGCGGGGCGGGGCGGGGGGCCGGGGTCCTTCGCTCACCTTTATTTATCGCTGCTCCCCCCCACTCCATGTTGTGTGTTTTTTTTTTAATATTCCTAAGTTCTTTTGTTCTAAGGGGGGATGATGGCATTTACTTTTCTGCTTTGTGTAGCAGGGCAATCACGGGGAATCGGCCACGTATAATCCGGCGGTTTGTCATATTTTATTAGTGAAAGTATTTTATGCTTGTTCTACCTCCTCCAAGGACTGTAACATGGAGAACTGCAGGGAGGAAGGAGGGGGAAAAAACATCAGAAGAATTCTTGTTTTGAGAAATTTCTTGGCGGGGCGGGGGAGGGGGCTCTCTTCCCCTCCCCTCCCCTGGGGGGGGGGAGTAATTGAGATTTTTTTTAAAAAATCGATAGTTTTCAACTTAAAGCATCACATGTTAGTACGGCTGTATTACTTGATTCTAAAATAGCCTCCAACCACCATAAAGAAGAAAAACTCCCAACATCTTAGATCTAAAAATAAATAAATAAATAAATCCCATCTGGACCGTGATAGGATCTGTGCTGGACGCTGGACTTCACACAGTGTTGGCCTTCGAATGTTAAATAACAATAAACCCCAGCCTCAACTGAATACAAATAGGGGGTGGTGGGGGTGGTTTTGTTTTTAAGGCTCAGCACTTTTGGAGCATCTGCCACTACGCATTTTCCAGGCATTGATTAGCCGTGCAACTCCCATAGGCATGAAGTCCAGTTCTCGTAGATAAAGAGCAACAGTGGTTAGATGATTTGCCCAAAGTCAAAGTGAGTCACTGGCAGAACCAGGAATAGCCTTGGACTTGATTTGCTACTAGTCACATCTTTTCCATTAAATAACATTTTCTCAAAGAAATGCTGTTTAAAGATAAACACACACTCTTTACCTTGTGTGTTCTTACCAGAGGTGCTTTGAGATCATCCACTATGAAGGCGTGTTCTTCCTTCTGTGACCTGCAAAACTTAAGTTTAACTTCTCAAGAGGAAACAATTAGGGTAAATTTTGATTCCTTAAAATTAAAAAAATAAAAATAAAAACCTATAGGGTTTAATGTGTAGGCCATTTAATAGTGTGAGCATTGTTTTGAAAATTCACAGTAGAGAAAGTATGTAAGAGTTTAAGAGTGAAAATGAAAGTCCCTATAAGTGATTGGAGAAGCATGGATGAACTCATCTTGTGAAACTAAACCTGTAGTGCGGTCAAGACGAATAAGGGAAGGACTAGTGGAAAAACTCAATTTTACCACCTCTATCCCCCCAACTCCACCCCACACCCCCGGATCTCTGCTGTGTTTAAAGTGATGGAGGATTGGGCCTTTCAAACAAGACCAAGTCATCATAGAACCCTCAACTTAATGGTTGCCATTTCAAACCATCCCAGAAGTTGATTTTTTTTTTCAGAGGAAGTCCACCTTAGGAGTCTTTCTGAAGAAAAAAAAATTTTTTTCTCCCCAGAATTTTTATATGTTTTTTATTGTAAAAATACTGTACAAAGGGGTTATTACAGTTGCATGAGTAAGGTCTCCCCAGAATTTTATAGAAGAAAAAATATGTTCAAAAATTGTGCATTAATGTGTAATCCTATAGAACTGGTGGGCATACTTATTATTTGAAAGCCAGATTAGGCTTTTATATATGTTACAATTTCTCAGTTCTACATTCTTATGACGCAAAAGCATTCATAGACAACATATAAACAAATGTATACTATAGTTTGATAGACCACGCTTCTATTTACCTCCTCTTCCTCGCTTTTTTTTTTTAATGAAAGTATTCAGGGTTAGTTGAAGCTCTTTCTACTCAAGGCTGGCTCCCTACCACTTGAACCATAGTTCTACTTGCTGCTTAATTGCAGATAAGAATCTCACAGGCTTTCTTGCTTGGGCTGGCTTTGAACTGTGATCCTCAGATCTCAGCTTCCTAAGTGACTAGGATCACAAGTGTGAGCCAGGGGTACCCGGTCTCATCCTCACTCTTAAGAGGTTCAAGGATAGAGGAATCACACAGACTTGGATGCTGGTACCTAACAAAGACTCTCTTTCAACTAAGGCACTTCAGTCAAGTTACTTCTCTGAGCCTCAGTTGTCCTATTTTGTATGCATATGTTACAGTCGGTGTAGCACAGTAGTAGAGTGGGTAGTTAGCATGCTCGAGGCACTGAGTTCAGTCTCCAGCACCCCAACAATGACAGTAATAATAATAACAACAATAATACAGGTCTCATAAGACCATTGAGAAGAGTGAATGCAAACATTCATGTAAAGTGCTTAGTATAGGATTGTACAATGCATCTTTCCTGTGCCCTCAATGAGTGTACTGGAGAAACAGAACAGGTATCAGGCATTCTATTACCTTCGAAATGCAGATTTTGCACATGGGGTTCGGGGAGGGAGCGTCTCAGGTTGATTGAAAGTTGTAAGATTAGTGTCATGGTAAATTTTAGAGACTCTACCTCCAGCTCTAAATACCTTTCTGTGTCTGACACTGGGTACTTGCTAAGTAAGCACACACTGGTTGGGTGGCCTTAGGCAAAACACTTAGGCTCTCAGAACCTTGGTATTGCCCATAAAGTACACATTTGCCTTGTGGACTAGGTGTAAGGGCTAAATGGCATACTGCTAAAGAGTGTCAGAAATAAGCTGAAGATTTTGCCACCAAAAACTCCACTGATACAAGTCATTGAAGTTTCAGAGATGAGTAGCAGAGGCAGCCTACAGTGGTAGAGTGCTTGTCTTCTCTGAGTAAAGACCCGAATCCCGTCTCCAGCACCACACACAGACAAAAAAAAAAAGCATAATCGTAATAGCAGATGCACAATTATTGCCTAGTTTCCAACCCTAAAAAATATTTCATTGAAACCCTATTGAGCAAAAGTAAAACTCAAAATTTTGAATGTCATAAATCTCACATGTACAGTTTTGAGTTTTTGTAAGTGGTCAAATCTTATACACGTTTTCTATCGATCCACGTTCCAAGAGAGCATTAAAACTCCAAAATTAAAAAAAACATAATTTTTCTTCTCAAATATTTATAGTTTTTTGTTGGTTTTTGGTTGTTTATGGGGCTTGAACTCTGGGCCTAGGGGCTGTCCCTGAGCTCTTTGGCTCAAGATTAGAGTGAAAAAGCCCTGTGAAAGCATGAGGATGTGAGTTCAAACCTTAGTCTGACATCAAAACACGAAAAAGAAAACCCAGACAACTTAAAAACATTGTACAGTGTCCAACAGAATCCTAATACTAAACATTAGGATTTTTTTTTGGGGGGGGGGGTCCAGTCGTGGGCCTGAACTCTGGGCCTGGGTGCTGTCCCTCAGCTCTTCAGCTCAAGGCTAGTGCTCTACCACTTGAGCCACAGCACTACTTCCAGCTTTTTTCTTTTTGCTTATGTGGTGCTGAGGAATCGAACCCAGGGCCTCAGGCATGCAAGGCAAGCGCTCTACCACTGAGCCACCTTCCCAGCCCAACATTAGGATTTATTAAATATTACTATTAACCATTAAATATTAGGATTCTGTTTCATATAGAAGTTATTTTGATTCCTATCTCTTATTTTATACCATTTAAAAAATAAATCTAACAAGATAAATGTTTTTTAAAAAATCTCCAATTAACCACCAGAAAACCA